CAAACTTCGTGAAAATCGGATGAGATTTGGCCGAGATATGGCCCTGGTAATTTTTGACCCATATCCATATACGAATCTTGGGGTAAGATTTGGACATGAATTTCGACCAAAAAATCGGTGTCGAGATTTGAATGCCACATTAATCTAGAGGGAAAACCTTGAAGAAAAACCCAAACTGCGTGAAAATCTGATGAGATTTGGCCGAGATATGGGCCTGGTAATTTTTGACCAATATCTATATACGAATCTTGGGGTAAGATTTGGACATGAATTTCGACCAAAAAATCTGTGTCGAGATTTGAATGCCACATTAATCTAGAGGGAAAACAATGAAGAAAGAGCTAAACTTCCTGAAAATCGGATGAGATTTGGCCGAGATATGAGGCTGGTAATTTTTGACCCATATCTATATACGAATCTTGGGGTAAGATTTGGACATGAATTTCGACTAAAAAATCGGTGTTCAGATTTGAATGCCAGATTAATCTAGAGGGAAAACCATGAAGAAAGAGCCAAACTTCGTGAAAATCGGATGAGATTTGGCCGAGATATGAGGCTGGTAATTTTTGACCCACGTCTATATACGAATCTTGGGGTAAGATGTGGACATGAATTTCGACCAAAAAATCGGTGTCGAGATTTGAATGCCACATTAATCTAGAGGGAAAACCATGAAGAAAAACCCAAACTTCGTGAAAATCGGATGAGATTTGGCCGAGATATGAGGCTGGTAATTTTTCACCCATATCTATATACGAATCTTGGGGTAAGATTTGGACATGAATTTCGACTAAAAAATCGGTGTTCAGATTTGAATGCCAGATTAATCTAGAGGGAAAACCATGAAGAAAGAGCCAAACTTCGTGAAAATCGGATGAGATTTGGCCGAGATATGAGGCTGGTAATTTTTGACCCACGTCTATATACGAATCTTGGGGTAAGATTTGGACATAAATTCCGACTAAAAAATCGGTGTTCAGATTTGAATGCCAGATTAATCTAGAGGGAAAACAATGAAGAAAGAGCTAAACTTCGTGAAAATCGGATGAGATTTGGCCGAGATATGAGGCTGGTAATTTTTGACCCATATCTATATACGAATCTTGGGGTAAGATTTGGACATGAATTTCGACTAAAAAATCGGTGTTCAGATTTGAATGCCAGATTAATCTAGAGGGAAAACCATGAAGAAAGAGCCAAACTTCGTGAAAATCGGATGAGATTTGGCCGAGATATGGGCCTGGTAATTTTTGACCCATGTCTATATACGAATCTTGGGGTAAGATTTGGACATAAATTTCGACTAAAAAATCGGTGTTCCGATTTGAATGCCACATTAATCTAGAGGGAAAACCATGAAGAAAAACCCAAACTTCGTGAAAATCGGATGAGATTTGGCCGAGATATGAGGCTGGTAATTTTTCACCCATATCTATATACGAATCTTGGGGTAAGATTTGGACATAAATTTCGACTAAAAATCGGTGTTCAGATTTGAATGCCACATTAATCTAGAGGGAAACCCATGAAGAAAAAGCCAAACTTCGTGAAAATCGGATGAGATTTGGCCGCGATATGGGCCAGATAATTTTTGACCCATATCTATATACGAATCTTGGAGTAAGATTTGGACATAAATTTCGACTAAAAAATCGGTGTTCAGATTTGAGTGCCACATTAATCTAGAGGGAAAACCATGAAGAAAAAGCCAAACTTCGTGAAAATCGGATGAGATTTGGCCGAGATATGGGGGTGGTAATTTTTGACCCATATCTATATACGAATCTTGGGGTAAGATTTGGACATAAATTTCGACTAAAAAATCGGTGTTCAGATTTGAATGCCACATTAATCTAGAGGGAAAACCATGAAGAAAAAGCCAAACTTCGTGAAAATCGGATGAGATTTGGCCGAGATATGGGGTGGTAATTTTTGACCTATATACGAATCTTGGGGTAAGATTTGGACATGAATTTCGACCAAAAAATCGGTGTCGAGATTTGAATGCCACATTAATCTAGAGGGAAAACCATGAAGAAAAAGCCAAACTTCATGAAAATCGGATGAGATTTGGCCGAGATATGAGGCTGGTAATTTTTGACCCATATCTATATACGAAATTTGGGGTAAGAATTGGACTTGAATTTCAACCAAAAAATCGGTGTCGAGATTTAAATGCCAGATTAATCTAGAGAAAAAACCATGAAGAAAAAGCCAAACTGCGTGAAAATCGGATGAGATTTGGCCGAGATATGGCCCTGGTAATTTTTGACCCATATCCATATACGAATCTTGGGGTAAGATTTGGACATGAATTTCGACCAAAAAATCTGTGTCGAGATTTGAATGCCACATTAATCTAGAGGGAAAACCATGAAGAAAAAGCCAAACTTCGTGAAAATCGAATGAGATTTGGCCGAGATATGAGGCTGGTAATTTTTGACCCATGTCTATATACGAATCTTGGGGTAAGATTTGGACATGAATTTCGACCAAAAAATCGGTGTCGAGATTTGAATGCCACATTAATCTAGAGGGAAAACCATGAAGAAAGCGGCAAACTTCGTGAAAATCGGATGAGATTTGGCCGAGATATGAGGCTGGTAATTTTTGACCCATATCTATATACGAAATTTGGGGTAAGAATTGGACTTGAATTTCAACCAAAAAATCGGTGTCGAGATTTAAATGCCAGATTAATCTAGAGAAAAAACCATGAAGAAAAAGCCAAACTGCGTGAAAATCGAATGAGATTTGGCCGAGATATGGCCCTGGTAATTTTTGACCCATGTCTATATACGAATCTTGGGGTAAGATTTGGACATAAATTTCGACTAAAAAATCGGTGTTCAGATTTGAATGCCACATTAATCTAGAGGGAAAACCATGAAGAAAAGGCCAAACTTCGTGAAAATCGGATGAGATTTGGCCCAGATATGGGGCTGGTAATTTTTGACCCATATCTATATACGAATCTTGGGGTAAGATTTGGACATGAATTTCGACCAAAAAATCGGTTTCGAGATTTGAATGCCAGATTAATCTAGAGGGAAAACCATGAAGAAAAAGCCAAACTGCGTGAAAATCGGATGAGATTTGGCCGAGATATGGCCCTGGTAATTTTTGACCCATGTCTATATACGAATCTTGGGGTAAGATTTGGACATAAATTTCGACTAAAAAATCGGTGTTCAGATTTGAATGCCACATTAATCTAGAGGGAAAACCATGAAGAAAAGGCCAAACTTCGTGAAAATCGGATGAGATTTGGCCCAGATATGGGGCTGGTAATTTTTGACCCATATCTATATACGAATCTTGGGGTAAGATTTGGACATGAATTTCGACCAAAAAATCGGTTTCGAGATTTGAATGCCAGATTAATCTAGAGGGAAAACCATGAAGAAAGCGGCAAACTTCGTGAAAATCGGATGAGATTTGGCCGAGATATGGGGTTGGTAATTTTTGACCCATGTCTATATACGAATCTTGGGGTAAGATTTGGACATAAATTTCGACTAAAAAATCGGTGTTCAGATTTGAATGCCACATTAATCTAGAGGGAAAACCATGAAGAAAAGGCCAAACTTCGTGAAAATCGGATGAGATTTGGCCCAGATATGGGGCTGGTAATTTTTGACCCATATCTATATACGAATCTTGGGGTAAGATTTGGACATGAATTTCGACCAAAAAATCGGTTTCGAGATTTGAATGCCAGATTAATCTAGAGGGAAAACCATGAAGAAAGCGGCAAACTTCGTGAAAATCGGATGAGATTTGGCCGAGATATGGGGTGGTAATTTTTGACCTATATACGAATCTTGGGGTAAGATTTGGACATGAATTTCGACCAAAAAATCGGTGTCGAGATTTGAATGCCACATTAATCTAGAGGGAAAACCATGAAGAAAGCGGCAAACTTCGTGAAAATCGGATGAGATTTGGCCGAGATATGGGGTTGGTAATTTTTGACCCATGTCTATATACGAATCTTGGGGTAAGATTTGGACATAAATTTCGACTAAAAAATCGGTGTTCAGATTTGAATGCCACATTAATCTAGAGGGAAAACCATGAAGAAAAGGCCAAACTTCGTGAAAATCGGATGAGATTTGGCCCAGATATGGGGCTGGTAATTTTTGACCCATATCTATATACGAATCTTGGGGTAAGATTTGGACATGAATTTCGACCAAAAAATCGGTTTCGAGATTTGAATGCCAGATTAATCTAGAGGGAAAACCATGAAGAAAGCGGCAAACTTCGTGAAAATCGGATGAGATTTGACCGAGTTATGGGGGTGGTAATTTTTGACCCGTGTCTATATACGAATCTTGGGGTAAGATTTGGACATGAATTTCGACCAAAAAATCGGTGTCGAGATTTGAATGCCACATTAATCTAGAGGGAAAACCATGAAGAAAAAGCCAAACTGCGTGAAAATCGGATGAGACTTGGCCGAGATTTTTGATTTTCTTTGATTTTCATACGGGGTTTTTTACTATCATTGTTAACTAAGTCACGGCTATCCAATTTAATTATTTGTATAATTTTATGTGCTTTTACGACTATTAATTATCATGGAATAGAATTTAAGAACACAAACTTTTTCTTAATTTTAATTGGTATTATTTTTCACTATAAAATGATATTCCCGTACATTCAACTTTATAGTAGTACTTATATTTGAAAATTCAAAGCCTTTATTACATTTAAGTAATAATCCTTTTTTTTTCATAATTAAAAGAAAACCTCTTTAATTCGTATTAAAATTTTGTAAAAGCAAAGAAACTGACTTCAAGTTCATTTATATCGGACTAACAAACGATCAGACAATATATCAAAATTTGCGTGATATTATCTTCATCATTCTCAAATTTTTAACATATGCAGATAAAATCATAATTACCCCATAAAACCCCAAATCTCGATTTTAATTGGCTCAACTATTTCCAAAAAATTTTATTAGACTTCATAGTAGTACGTTTTCAATTGTTCATTTATTGATTCTTAAGTTTTTCAGTGCTGCACAATTTTTTCAGCTCACATCATTTATAAAATACATACTCGCAAATGCATATTAATATTAATAAATCGTGCTGAGCTTTGCAATATTAGACAATTACTTATATGGGTTATTGCATTTCAGATAATCTAACATTGAATTGTAATATTCATGTGTGGTCGTTTTGAGAATCGCGTTCTATATGCACGCTTCTTAATTATAATCATTTAATTAGTTCGATTTTCAACTGTAAATTCGATATTCAAACAGTTTTGTGTTCCAGGAGTTGACCAAGATATGTAAAATTCTCCCAAATATGTTGTCTCTTCTTTTTGTTTACAATACAATTTCAAGTCACATAGATATTCATTGTATACATAAATATACATATATATATATATATATTGGTATGCATGTGTGTTGCTAATATTTTTACGTTTGTGTGTAAAATGCAGTGTTCTGTAAATATATGTATATAATAAATTGGTTCTAATAATATGGGTATATAAAAACAATTAGCAAATGGTGGGTTCTTATTTTGGGGAGCCACACACGCACACACACTCTGAGACCCACGCATATACATTTAAAAATTCGAAAAGCCATAAAATTACTACATATATAAAATATTGTTCCAAGGACACTTTGTAAAACAATGAAATGATGCATGAATTTCGAACCAGTCGGTATATAGTATTGAGTATACCTATATATTTATGATATTACAATGTTTTGATCTGTATATGAGCATGTGTGGTGGCGCAATGCATTGGCAAATGGGAATGAGTATAAAATCGAAATACAAATAATATCATGATTTTGCAAAATTATAAAGGTTACAAATCAATTAATAAGTTTTTAAATAGTAAAAACCATTGAGATATATAGCTTATCTTAAGAGCTCAGTACAACTGAGCCGGGAATAACATTAACAAGTTTTCAACTTAAAGTGGAAATGTTGGGTTAACAGTGAGTGTTTATCGATTGACATAAATAAAAGGTATGAATGGTGATTGTGTTTTGAGTATTTTTGTGTATTATATGTTGTTCTTCTTCTGCTTATCAACGAGCTTCTTGAGAGACGGCAACGAGTTATATCGCATGCATGTGACCAAACTACAAACTAGGCTAAGGGCTGTCTTTTAAAATCGATAAATGGGATGCTCGCTGCGCAGCCTAAACATGATCGTAGCTGCGGCGAAACGAACGATACAAGCAGCAGGCAAAGAGTATGGTGAGCAGCTGCAGAATAGGACATTTAAAGATTAGTAACAATTTATAAGAGTATATAAAAAATGCACGCAGACTTACCTGTATGCCTGCCACGGAGAGCACTACGCTGGCCAATATCAAAGTCTTGGAATCGAGTATGCCCAACAGCTTTTGCAAACAGCCCTGCTGTATGGCGTGCATTGTGGTGCAATCTTTGGCCTCGCTTAGATTGATCAGTTTGCAGCAGGCCGGAGGCAGAGTCTTGTTGGCAAAAATGCCATCCCAATCGTTGGGTCCATGGGTGCCACAGCAATCCAGTTCGGTTTGCAACAGAGTCCAGGCATCACGATAATCATCACGTTCCCTATAATGCTTCATGGTCGTATTGAACTGGGTTTCCATCAGCTGCTGCAAGCCCGAGTGCTTGACATAGCCCGCAATGCCAAGACCAATCTCCAACAGGAATATTACAACGGCCAGTATAGCAAAGCTCAGTATCATGCAGCTGTTCTCCTTCAGAGCGCCACAGCAGCCCAGGAAACAGATAAATGCGACTGCGGCGCCGACAACCATGAGTATAATGGGCGCTGTCCAGATGTGATCACTGACAAAATTTGAGTAATGTGCATAATTCAGCTGCACTATTGTGCCCACCGTTAGGATCAGTAGACCCGTAAGCTATGGAGCAATATACAGAGATTAGCACAGTTCGATTAACCCAACAGTTTATTGCCAACTTACCGCGAAAAGCAGATTGCAGAAAAAAGTGATATATTTGACGCATGTCAAACCGCCGGATGCCATTTTTGGTCAGAACCTTTTACACCGGTTACCGTGTAGATACTGCAAGGATATGAGGAAAATATTAATCAAGGCAGGCAAAAAAAACAATAATAATAAAAATAATCAATAGATGGTCAACCGCACAAAACGAATGGGAAAGTTGTGGAGTCAACCCCCAAATCAGTGGCAGACACGCAAACCACAGCGTCGCCCGCCCCAAACGATGTCCAAGTGTCTCTATTTGCCACCATCTGCCACCTGCCACCTGCCAACTGCCACACCTGTCTAGCGTTGTCTGGCAGCGGATTAACCATACAACAACCCCTGTTCCATTGCACGGCAAAAGTGGCCAAGTCCGTATAGAAATGAGTCCGCCTGTGTTTGGCCATTTTCACTTTGGGTGGCCTAGATCTGAGGCATTATACATATTTGTTATTATATTGAATTGTTGGCCGCGTTTGTGCTTGCAGCTGAGTGCATTGTTTTGGTGGCAAGGACGTGCTAGCTGTTCCCGTTTCTAGTGCAACGGGCTTTCAATGCAACTGTCATAAAAATCGATTCAAGTTGATGTGAATATGCCGACAGCGTGGAAGTCTCTACAGCTGTGCAGGACTTAAGTGGCACGTTGTTGGCTCAAGAGAGTTAAAAGAACTGGTCGAAAAGAGTTCTACATCAACTTATCTGATAGTTTATTTTTATTATATTTTAAAAGTTCAGTTTTTACTTAAAAGAGTCTGGAAAGAGATTTAAAAAAAATGGTCGCAGAGTTTTTGATAAACTTATCTGATCGGGAAATGAGAAAAACGAAAAATGTTTGTCAGAAATAATTAAAATCAAAATCTTATATTACTTAAAAGAATTATTTTCCAAGTATTTTAAATATGGAAAGCTCACCAAAACCATAAAGAGTTGTTTTTCTTTCGTCTTGGCTTCAAATTAAATAATTAAAACTCAATTTAATCTCTGCTCTATATTAAAATGTGGATAATTCTAATTTATGAAAATCTTAATTCTAAACATCATTATCTAATAAATATTTCTTAAATATTGACATAATCCCTTCAACATTCGTTTGTTGTTAGTGAAAGGCGTTATTGCATCTATAAGTCAGTCAATTTTTTGATAAATTTTTCTGCGCTTCTTTCCTTTTTTACATACACACATTCTATATGTACTATTATATGAATATTGTGTGTGTGCCTAACCATATTATCGCAATGTTCGCCGTTGACCTTTAGAATTTTATTAGTTAAGAACGCAAGTTTTGTCTAAAGAACCCCTTCATTTGAACTCTTCAATTAGAAAAGGTGACTGTTCCAATTAATTGACCAACGCAATAGGCATAATTTCCCACTGTGCAACATGAATAAACAAAATATCGCAGCGAAAGTCGTAACAGAATCGATCGCCTTGAAACTGTGTCAGCGGCGGGTGCTGAAGGAGTTAATAACGCTGGACATTCGGCTGGATTGATTGACTTAGTTCTAAAAAAGAACTGGAAGTGAAAAAGTTCAGCTGTTCACCTGCCGCAACTGACGCAGGTAAACAGGACAATAGAAATGCCTCATCAATAGCTGACATGGCGGACATGGCGGCACTGTACCGTGGGCATGGAACTGTCAAACATGTGCTTATTTTGATAAGAGTGTGACGCAGAACTGATTGACCTATGACATAAGACTATAATAATCAAACGAATGTAAGAAGAAAGTAAAACTGTTCTATCTGCATAGTTAGATGGAAAGTGCGACAAAATGAATGCTTGAAGCTATCTAAAGCGAATATTAAGCAGCAAGTCGATGTTAATGAACATCTAATATAATTAGTTAATTAATTAATATAATTATCAGCTTATTACCTATTGAACAAAAACATATTATATTATATATATTACTTGCAAAGGTTTATTTCCCATTCCTAAGCGACAATACGGGATTTCAAAAATAGAGTTGCACAATGTGCAATTTAATCGGTTCTTGACACACTGTAGAATATTTGATGTGGTCGCGTTTCGAGCCAAATGGGAGACGTTGGGGGGGGGGGGGGGGGGGGGGGTCAGTGGGCTGCGATGTTGGAGCAATTATACAAACATACACATTACAATCATACATACATACATGCATGTGTGCATGTGTGCATGTGTGCATGTGTGCATAACAACACACTTGTGTTGCGTGCCATCGGCTAATTCCGGAAATTTAGCTATAGACATGGCTAACGGGCATTAAACAGTTGCCCCCAAGCTGACCGTTGTGATATGGGTGTGTGTGTGTGTGTGTGTGAGTGGGAGCTTTTGATTAGATTTTAAGTTAAAACGTAATAGACGAAAGTGTTAACAACTGTAAAATTGCAACAACACAAAAATGGAGCACAGTGTGACCAAATGCCAATTGCAGCGGCAGCCAACAGAGGTTAACAAACTGTGACGAACTCAAGCGGCAAATGCAAACGCATACCTAAAACATACAACATGTATGTATGTAAATACAAATACAGATGTATTGTATGTATGCGTGTACAGGAATTTTTGATCAGCATCAAACAAAAACATGCAACTATTGGTCGCTTCTGGTTTTGTTTTTTTACCTGCACGTTCCTGTCTTCTTATTATAACTTGTTTGCCTGCCATAGGTTCACACATATCCATATGCATACATACATACATATCTATGTACGTGTGTGCAGACTCAAATGAATCTGGCAGCGTCTTGGGAAAATAAAAGAGGAGCATCAAACAAAAGACCAGCTAAGTAGAACGGAAGCAGGCAGTGAACCTGAAAAGAAGAAATAACTGCACTCTGCCAGCCCACATCTGCGCTTCACCTAATTCTACAGACACGCACATATACACAGGCAAACACACTTATTCTAATTGCACTCTACTTATCTACGCACAACATTTTTTGTTATTAACTTTTTATACTCACTTTGGCTAGCAATTAACTAATCACAATTTTCTAGTTGTCTACTTTTTGAAAATGCTTGATTTTTCGTTAGCCGTTGGCTTAGCTCGCGATGTTTTTGTCGCAAGGCGCAAAAACACAATGCAAACGCAAACATAAAATCTTGTTTTGGTTATTGTTGTGGAGCGCATAGCGCAGGTCCGTTACTCGGCTTGCCTATGAACTCCAAAGAGATATACACAGAGAGAGAGAGAGAGCCAGAGAGCGAATGACGTCACAGGCTCGATAACACTTCAAAACTGGTTAAGATATACAATAACTGTTTCATGACAACAGATAAGAATTGCGAATAGAGTACATCGCTTTGTTCAAAGAGAACAGCAACATTTATGACGCTCATTTAAAGTTGTAAACAGTTTGTCCATTGTGAAATTCAAGCTGTGGCGGCTAACGATAAGCTTTAGTGAGCAACACGAATACCGTATGCTTGCCGCATGTGTCGTTAAGTTTGTACTCTTTTCTAACTGTGTGGCAGCGCTGCAGCTGTTCACGATATTTAAAAACGTGACGATAGTTTCCTTTGCTGGCGGCCAAATCGCACGCCAATTGCTTGGTAATAATTTATAAGTTTGTTTATCTTTTTTTGTGTGTTAGTGTGAAGCTTAAGGCTTAATTTGAAAAGTAATACCTAAAATATATGAATATAAACACAATGTGAAAAAAAACAAAGCTCTGAAACTGCACAAATATGATGCAATGGTGTAATGGAAACATGCAAAAGATCTTAACAAAAACAATAACAGATTTCTCTCTCCGCTTAGAGTAATCTTTGGGTTATTACGGTACGTATACTCAGTTGTGAAACTCACCTTTCGTCATCTTGATAACAATTGAAACTCTATTTATTTGATAGTTTTTGACTTTATTTAATTAACTTTATTTTCGGCGCAGTTAGATATCTTTAATGCTCTATACAGTGGCACTACAAGTATATATATGTATATATGTATATATTTATGTACATACGAGTACTTGTTTTTTCTTTGTTGCTTGTACACACCAAATGCTCATTTAGACCAGACTTAACTTTATGTACACTGAGACTAATAGATGTTTAAGTATTCCTTTACAATTTATACAATATATATATATATATAATTAAATATTTTGATAGAAGTGCATTGTGTGATAACATTAGCTTAATAATTCTCTACACAACTAAACTACTCGCCTATATTGCAATTTGAAAGGTTTTGTATGCGTTATACTGAATTTGACTAGAATAACTCGTTAAGAGGGTTTTTATCCACAAGCCAAATGCAACCCTGTTTTCGTTTCGTTTCAGCTTGCTAAAAATTAACACTACCAATAAATATCGTTAACCTTTTGTCTTAGCTTATTTTAAATTTGAATAGAATTCGATCTCGAAGAGCCGAACTGTATATCATTTGATGCTGTATTGGTTTAAACTTGCGCATTTGAGCTCTCCGCACTAGCACTAGAACTGTAAACCCCTAGTTAACTTGCTAAATCTTGACTAATCAAACATAATCAACAAGCTTAAGTTGACATCCATGCGAACAAATAGCCACCCTAACTACTATTTTTCACTTAATTATTGCTAAGTCCAATCCACGCACACACTCACACGCACACACACATACACGCACGCAAGCCACCCATAGGGTAACGTTATTTTATTACTGTTTACCGTACGCACGTCACCGTGTGCCATCTCTTTCTAACCTAAGAGCTTGCCAAAGGTCGCTAACGGTCTAACGGAAGTGTGTCAGTTCGAATGCGCCTTTTCAACGGTTTTGTGTGTTAATTGTTTTGTTGCCACCACGGCCCACATGCCGCATGCCACATGCCCCCCCGCCAGTTGAAGCCATTACAACAACACTAAATTTCAAGTGCATTAAAAGATCATGGGTGGTAAATTAACTAAGCGTCGACGCGTCACTTGCTGCTCCTGGCGTCGCATCGGGTCGCCATATTTGCCATCAGCATCTACTTAAGTCCCAGTACCGTTATTTTACGTTAATTGATGCTGCGTCTTTGTTGCTGCTATTGCTGCCAATTGTATGTGTACTCTATATATATATATATATATATAAACATATATTTATACGCGATATTGAAATTTGCACCACAACAGTCGGCTTTGGTATTTTTATAATATACAAATTTGTTTTTTTTTTTTTGAGAAAAATAATAAGCAATAATTAAAACAAAAAGGTATTTAATTTTCGCAAGCGAACATAATTTGTTAACTGTCTTTTCTTTTAGAAATTGACCAATATAACTTAAATAAGTTGTGGAAAAACTTTGATCTCGGTTTTTTTAGTTATTTTTTCTAAAAATGTTCAATTCCCTCATTTTCTCAAGTAAACGTTCAAATTGAAAGCTGTAGATACGACTGGAACTCAAATTGACAATCTCATTTGAACTTCCCTCAAATAACATATTGGTAAAATTTTCGAAAATATTGTTTGTTTGGTTCCAGTTTTTAAATCATTTTCAAGGTCTATAATTAAATTTGTTTATAAAACTGTTCAAATTTATAAAATATATATGCTTTGGTTTTAATTTTTGCATTGAAGTTAAATATTTTTGCCAAGAAGAATCTAAAGGCGAAGTGAAATTGCAAACGAGCACTGTATGGAAATTTCTAGCAGTGAAGTGTTGCCAGATGTGCAATGCAAAGATGGCAACTCTTGACAAAAGCCAGGTAAATTGGAAAATAGATAATTGGAAAATGCTAAAATGAACAGAAATAATTCAAAGTTTACTTGTTAGATTTTGACAGTCAGGCTACATTTGAAAGTGAATTTTCATTTTAGCAACTGGAAAAACTTCTGCTGACAGCAGGTTAAAGTGCATGCTAACGTTGACTGTAACTTGAGAAAATGGGTTTTCATATTAATTGAATTCAATGAGAGTTGCTGCGCTTTGAAGCCAAGCTGTTTTGGTAGAGTATAGATAACTTTGAAATTCACTTAGATTTATGAGCGTCTATTCTAATTAATTAATTTTTGGTTTTTGTTTTGTTTGTTTTTTTGTGGAAGTTCTGATCAGGACTTTGAAATATTATGCTCTAGTTATATTTTCCACTCTAACTCGGCATGTGCTATAAATTCTATTTGTGTACTTATATTCACTTTACCACAGACCATCAGAAGAAGCCCAATCGATGCTTAGAGAAACTCTCGAAAGGGCTCATCGAAATTATCATTGACATCCGGAAAAACGCCGCCGCCCGCCGCACCGCCAACAGCGACAGCGACACCACCCACCGTTAATGTGGTGCCGCCATTGAGTATGAGAGTTGGCTGTTGCTGTTGTTGCTGTTGCTGTTGTTGCTGCTGCTGCTGTTGCTGCTGCTGTTGGGGCAGCAACATGTTGGCGCCCAAATGCGCGTGAGCATGCAACAGTTGCTGCTGGGCGTGCGGCTGCTGCTGCTGCTGCTGCTGTGGATGATGATGATGTGGCAGATGCTGTTGCGCCTGCTGTTCCACTTGCGGCTGTGCATGCATGTGCATCGCCGGCGGCGGTTGCAGTGTTTGCATTGTGGGCGTGGCCGCAACAGTTGCCGCACTCAATAAGCTGCCATCGCTGGCAGCGAGCAGCGCACAGTCATAGGCACCACCGCTGGCCAGGGCATCCTCGAAGCACAGTCCATTGGTGGCGCCATTGGCCGCACCACCGCCATTATTGCCATTTGGCTCGGCCGTCAGGCCCGTGAGCAGGACACCGCCAACGGCGCCCGCATTTAGCTCCATGGCGGCGGCCTCCTCGTTGCGCTTGGAGAGTATAATGTGCGTCAGATTGATAATGTAATTCTTGGCCAGCGTGAGAGTCTCAATCTTGGACAGGCGTCGCTCCATCTCCACATGGGGAATGACCTCGCGCAGCGACTGAAACGCATCGTTCAGGCTGTGCATGCGCATGCGCTCCCGCTCGTTCGACTCCAAACGGCGTAGATTTCGCTCCTTCGCATTCAGCGCCCCCTTTCGCCGTCGATTGTTGTTGTTGTTGTTGGCGCCGCTGTTGGGCGTTAGGCTGGCGCCGGCGGCGGCATTTTGCTGCCGCCCGCGGCTCGACGGCCGCTGCCCGCCCTGGGCGCAGCCCAGCTGGTTGCTGTTGTTGTTGGTGCTGCTGCCGCCGCCGTTGCTGCTGCCGCCGCCGCCGCTGGTGTCGTCGCTCTGCGAACTGGAGTCGGTCATCTCCAGGTCGTAGGTGTTATTGCTTAGCTGTGGACAAGTCAATCGATTGCGTTGTACCGCCTGCTCGCCATTCTGTGCCTTGCTGCTTACCTGTGAGGTGCGTCGCGTCGCACGTCGCACGGGCCGTGAGCTGCGCTCCACCGATTCCGGCGATAGTCCATTGTGGCCATCGGTGTTGTAGTTGTTGTTGTTGTGCTGCAACTGCTGCTGCAGCTGCATGAAGTCATGACTGCCCATCAGCTCAGTGAGTTGCGTCGCGTCCATCTTGCCCACAGAGTACTAGGATCAAAATGCATTCATTTAATATTTCAACAATTAAGACTGCGCTAGTCGGGTATGCCCGACTTCCCTTAACCGCACACTATATTTGGAATATGCATTCCAGACTAACTTGGATGATTATTAATTAGCTAGGCCTTAATTGTGGCATACAAAAGTGTGTACTATACCAAAGCGTAAGGCTCTAACTTAAAAAATGTTTTTTTTTTTCTTTCGATTTAAGAAGGGATTGGGGTTGGTGCTATTCAAATAATGAAACATTGTTACCATAGACACCTGCATATAGAGTTTTATGCGAATATAGACATACATTAAATTTCAAGCAGCATTTAAATATTTCGTGATCGAAGCGCCCAAAAAAAAAACATTTACACGTCTTTGCCTATACCCTAATTTGGGACTAATGTCTAACTGTTCGTTGTCCTGGCTTAATTTGCGGGTTGCAAAAATAGAATTTTTATAAAAACAAATTACTAAATAATATTCAAAAAGAACTTACATTCGGTAGGAATATTCTGAACCCATTAAAATTGGGTAAAAAATTTGTTGCAAATGTATGTAACAGGCAGAAGGAAGCATCTCCGACGCCATAAATTATATATATTGTTCCTATGTCCCTATATATGAACGCAATATTTAACTTTCTTACTTGAGATATATCTTTTGTTTTAACATTAAAATATTTAACTACGAAATCGATTTGAATTTGAGCTTAATTACGCCTTATATATCTGATACATACATTTGCACAAATTCAAATATTACAGGGTATAAAATCTAAGCCACAAAATTCTATACAAGTAAAATGATTTCAAATTAATTGAATTCTTTTAGTTTAATTCAGTTCAATTATTTTATAAAATTAAGTTTTATTTTCTCTGAAAAACTAAAAGTCTCGCTAAGAAGTTTGATTTTGAATTTAGTTGTATCGGAATGTGCGACAATAAATGTCAGCTTATAATTAGATATCCCTATTTTGGTTTGTAATTTACAGACTACTGTGACATAACCGATTTTTATGCTTATAATATTTTGTTGTCTAGATTTACTGTCTAGCTGACAGTAATTGGCTAACTGAATGAACATCACGTATTATTTATGCTGGATTTTGTGTATTTCTGTCATTTTTATCTGCAATCTCAACATATTTGAATTAGTTTCTCTTTTGCATTAAAATAGCTTGCGTCATATTCGAATTTTCTTATCTAAAATCAATATCAGCTATTATCAATGTTTATGATATTGCCCGCTTCATCAAAAAGTTGGTCTAATATTTTCGATTGATCGATAACACATTTAAACAGTCAATAGAAGCCTAAAGGGTTTATGTATTCCTGGGAGTATTCAAAAGGAAACATTTATAATAAAGAATTTACGCATTAAAAAAAAAAATAATATTAATTAATTAATATATTGATTGAATATTTTCGACTATCGGATAAGAAATCGATAATTCTTTTAAGCAATCAATAGATGCCTTACGAGTTATTAAGTTCCAGGAAGTATTCCAACTGAAACCTTTATAGATTAACTAGGCATATTTATCTAAACCCAATATTAGCATTTGACAAGTTTCGCATTTTATCAAAGAATAAGTTTAATAAGTTTGAGTTATGAATTAAGTAATCGATAACATATTTAAGCAACTAATAAATGCCTTATGAGCGTTCAAATAATAATATTCAAAAAGAAATTTTAAAAAATATTAACGTATATTTCTCTTCAATCAATATACGTTTTTACAAAGAATAAATTAAATATGTTCGATTAATCGAATAAGTAATCGACAATGGATGTCTTAAACATTATTAATTTCCAGGAAAGATTCCAAATGTTGTCTTTAGAAAGAATTATTTAAATATTTTTGATTTATTTTATTAAGCTATCAATAGATGCCTTTAGAGCTATTCCATTCATGTTCCTCGCTTCACCAAAGAATTATTTTAGATAATTAGATTATTCGATTAAGTAATCGATTACACATTAAAGCAATCAAAACATGTTTAAAGCATTTTAAAAATGCAGGAAATATGCGAAATGCAACCTTTGAACTCTATTTAGCAGAACATGCAATACGTCTGTGGTTAGAGGGGGACAGGGAATTGCATTGTAGTTGGTTTCTAAATATGTCGAGAGTAAACGCTTTGCACCACCGACCCCGCCCTTCAGAGACGCGGAATGTTGGCGGCGTTGTTATGGTTATGCCCCTTGGCATTGGAGCATTTGACCGGAACAGCGTGGAGCATTTAAAGCGTTGACTTGTGGCCACACGGACAACGACATGGTCATGGATATGGTATAGGAATCGGGCATAAGGGAAAGGGTTTTGCGACTTGCTTGGCGCGTAATACAAAATGCGCACTTTGCGGTGCGGTTTCTTTTGTCGCCTGGCCGACTGGCAGCTGCGACTGTGTCGCTCTTATTTAACTGCATGTTGCGGCAAGCAGCTCCTTGGGCCTTAGACTCTTTAATAGAAATGCTGCAAGAACTTACAACACAGCAAAACATAACATTGCTGGCAACGCACAGCGCATTAATGGCAATAAGGTTATAGGGTTACATTCCCAGCGATTGCGTTATATAATGGCTTTTGGTTTTAAAAATGATAAATACTAGTAAAAAATACGCATGCCGAGGAATTGATACTCTAACATGTGGCTTAGAAAACATAATATATTCTGATTCCTGGTTCCATATAGGGAACGCTTTTTCAACCAATTTTATTTTGCTTTAAATATGCTTATTTGATCGATTTCAAACAATTAAGTTATGTTTTTAATCAAAAAATTGTTTTGGCAAGAACTCAATATAAAACTGATTAATATATGTACTCAGCTGATGCTCTAAGGTCTTTTCCAAAATGTTAGCTTTAGATGTCTTAGGAAACAAAAAATCAATTTTTTAAAAGAATTGAACTTTTGATCGATAAGTTCTAATAAGCTATAGTACTTGGTTAGGAATATATTCTAAAAACAAAATGTGTTTAAAAAAAATTGCTGAATAATAGTTCCTGTGGTAGCTGTGTAGTATTGGGGCTAAAGAAAGCCAAATTTAAAGATTTAAGTAAAGAAAGCTTTCAAAATAGTAATTTTGTCAATAAAAGAACTCGCATATCTAACGACCTATTGCCAGCTATAACACAGCTAATATTACAGCTGATCCGGCCAACATCAATATCAGATGCGAATCCATTTCCGAGGAGCTAGTTAACATACAAATAACAGACGTTATGTCACTTTAGCTCAACGCTCTGTTCAAGACATGCATATATGTATATATATCGAAAAAAATATGCATATATGGTTACGCGGTGTGTACACATTCCCCAACAAATTGCTGATACCTCTGTTAGAGTATTTAAAAAAAATAAACAACAACAACACTGACTGCCATTTAAACGAGTCCTTTTACATGGACTTTAGCTTGGGTTTATTGAAACATGTACGCACTTTGTTGCATTATCCATTATCCGACAATGAGCAGCCGATTTGTCGGCGCCTTGATATGTTGCAGCTACCAGTTGCTGCCACTGCGGTTGACACTGAAAATGCAGCAGATTTTATGCGGCTTTGTCTGAGAAACGTCCTTAAGGAAGCAGCCAGCCAGCACCTGCGCTTGTGTAATATTTATTATGCTCTCTATTAAATAAGTGAAGCATACATTTGCGCGTTATTTTTTTGCTGTTTGTTTTGCTTTTTTGTGAGTACAAGTTCGTTGCTAGCTGACAATATTCAACTGCTTTTGACAGGCACACAAATGTTATCAACTGCCGTATTGGCAATAAGTAGGTCAATGTTTTTTAACTATTGCTGAAAAACAACGTTAAGATGAAGCCCGTGAGTAAGTTTCCATGTAATTCTCCTGTTTGGAATGTTATGTCATATGTGAAGCTTTCTATACATTGTTGATCTTTGGTCAAATTATTTTTGGAAATAAGGTTTATTTTCAATAGACGCCATTTTTCGAGTAGTTTATTAATATCCCAATGCCTTTGTTCAAATCTATCTGTAATTTATTTACATTCATTTGGAATAATTGAAAGCATTTATAAGCCAGACAAGGAATAAATTTACACATGAGTAAATACTTTATCTGAAGGGTTAGTACTTATTATAAAAAAAACCTTAGTTAAAGAAAATTGTATCTGCTGTCGCACTCGAATTAATGTTTCCTGCATTATACAAACAATCGAAGCTGAAAGTTTTGTTTTATAGTCCGTATAAGAAATGTTCCCCTGAATTAGAGGTGACCCTTAAAAATATTTTTTTATATATTTATTTGGAAAATATATTTTAGTTGTTGACTTGAATATTATTTCCCTTAGTAGTATTTTCCTTTTTCAATAATTATGTCTTGGTCTAACAGATAATCCTCCAAACATAAAACTAAGTTGTTATAATAACAATAAATCAAACTTTAAAGTCATTTAATATTTTCTTTATAACAATTACTTTATAAAAAATTATTTCCTTATGAAAAATTCATAATTTCAGAAGCAAGAAATTCCCAAAAATTTGTTTAAATAATATTTTTTAATTTCTTCTGACTTACATTCAAATGAATTTTAATATGTTTATGGAATATTTGGATATATTATTATATACAATACGGCCACAATTAAGTCGAGCATTCACTGTTTTCATAAACTTTACGAAATATGCGTATCAAACATTTTCACAATCATTTTTGCCATATTCACGAGCACCTTTCACTTGGCTAACAGACATTTTAACAATTTTGCTTTCTTTGGTTGGACAACCAAATGATGCCCGTCGACTATATATATAAATATTTATGTATATATATAGATGTATACCGTTAAACCGATTTCAGTTTTGGAAAACGTTTTTGAAAAAGAACTCGCGACGACCAAATTGCGTTGGACCAGTTGATAAACTGAGCACCGGAAACGCGTTGACGGCGGCTGCCACTTGTGGAATGGCCGTGACGACAAGAGCCGAGCCGAGCGAAGCCCAAAGGCGAAT